GGGGGGGGGGGGGGGAGGTGGGAGGTGAAGGGCGGCACGAAGCACATCGTCAGCGCTCTGTTTTGCATGCGCTTTACAACATTGTTTCTCTTCAAATTCAACGATATGTGTTTTTCATGATGTTTGTGTAAGGACGTCTTCGTGCGTCCAACTGGAATCCTTTTTTCGAGAACACATTTTTTTATCGAGTACATGAAATATCTATCATGTATGTCGTCTGCACTTCTCTACGTTTGCTAAGGTCAGTCGGTGAAGCTTCATTGTTCCACTGACGACTTACATGCAGTAAAAAAATAAAATGAAAGAGAAACTCACGACAAATTGGTTATTTCGGCAACTGCACGATGACCTTCCTTTGATTTTTTTTATTTATTTTTTTGGCTTTCGTCCGGTGTTGGCAATCATCACGATTTAGCAATGCCATTATGAACGGAAAGATGGCCAGCAAACATTAAAAAAATGACAATGAAAATGCGTGGATAGGTTCCTTCCTGTTTTCATTGTTTTCTTTTGTTTTCTCAGGTGCCGGCGATGAGAACGATGGCGCAATTCCTAAGATCGAATGAAGGGCCGCATACATAAGAAGACATGGACGAGAATGCGATGGCCATTAACGCATGCGTCACATGATAAACCCACATAGAAAACAGTATTGCGTGAGCAATCGTAAGCATTCAAATACACGTCGTCGACACAGAAACATAAATATGAGGAAATCCATTCAATAACACAACAATGTTCAGGCGGCGATCCACTTTTCTCCTAGCTATCCACCCTCCAAACGACCCACACAAAAGACAGAGGTATCATCCACTGAGCTAAGATACCCTTTTGTGGAGCACAACTGTAAAGTGTGCTCCAATCAAAAAAAAAAAAAAAAAAAAAAAAAAACGTTCACAACACATCTACTTTGACGCCATCTGCTAACGTCGCCACACCGTTGGACCGCGCACCTTCCCCCTGCTCAACCACCAACACCCATCCCGCCCTTGCACTGACGTGTGCAGTTGTAGGCGCACAGTTCGTCGTTTCCTGATCCTACGCGCCAATCCGTCGACGATCCGCACCCCACCGCTGCCTTACAGACGAACCCACGTGTCAACCGCCCTCATCTCCATCGTCGTCCACCGCGGGCCCGCTGCTGATCCAGCCGCGTTTTGTGGCTTCCGCTGCATTCTTCTGGGTCGTGTTGTGCCCGAACACCAACCCACAATCAGACCATTCCGGAATGCAATGCGGGTAATCTCCCAGCGTCAGGTGGGCCTTCCCTAGACGATCCAAGACGACGTTGGCGGTGTCAACGATGTGTCGCCGCTAGTTGAAGATGTAGGACCCCGCCGCTATCATTGTGGATTTGGCGAGTTTTGGTTGTCATTAAGCTGATCCTGGAGCTCTAGTTAATGCAGCAGTTGGTAAATTTCCAACTCCTGCTGATGTTTCTGGCTGGTGACAATCTAAAATATTCTTGAGATTTCTTACCTAGGTAAAAAAGTCCGTTGTTAAACCAATCGACTGCCTGCTATAAGTGTTGCTTCTGCATGTGCCAATACTTCCAGCAGTCTGTGATATAACTTTGAAAGGTTTTCTGTTGGAGGATACAGGTATTAAGTTTGTAAAAGCCCGGTCCCCGGTCGGGTTTCTTTCGAAAGGACAGAATGGTCGTGCACATTTTGTGATCAAGTTGCTGGTATGGGCTTGCAGGCAAGATTGCTGCCAGAAGCAGGGATCCTTCCTCGAAGTCTCTGCTCCCGCTGGAGTCATCATCCTCAAGTCCTTTTGGAACACGTCCTTTAGGAGCCTTTACCAATCTCCGTTGCCTCTTTTCCTCGTCCACATTGTCCGCAGTCTTGTCCAGCGTGCCCTCCTCAACAGGCTGCTCTTCTGGCGTCAGCTCCATCAAAGGCTCGAAGAAGGACCCCCACATGTCAACGTAGTCACTCTCCTTGCTGTCTGGAACGCGCAACAGTTGCATGTTCCAGTGAATGTAGACAAGATTCTCCAACGACTCCGGCGAGAGGCTGTTTCTCCGCTTCGAATGGACGAAGTCCATCGATGCCCAATTGCGCTCTGCAGGTGTGGTTGTGCTCCACATTCCCAACACTCTCATGGCAATCTTCTGCAAGTCCCGGACATCTCCACCGTGTAATCCCCACCAGTCTTGAGGTGCACATTTCGTTGCTCCTTCCCTTGCACAATCTGTCCATATCTTCTCATTTTTCCGGACTTTTCCTTCCACAGGCTCTCTCAAGAACTCCCACAGCTGATCCCACATGTCAACGTGCTTCTTCAAATTCCACTCGTGTCCAATCTGCCTCATCAAGAAACGCATTGCATTTTGCACGAGGGCGCTGTCCGGATCGTTCAGCCAACCGGGGTCTCTCCTTCGGAGATCAAGAAGAAAGGCAGCTGCGTGTGCGGGCTGTCTCATCATCTGCACGCGATCGGTCACCTTAGCCATAACGTCCTCCCTCTCCGTCTTCGTGAGCACGACATTTGGCAATTTTCTTGCAATCATTTCGTCGAACTCTACGAGGTTGGTGGGACTGACTCCTTCCTTGTCCATCCTTTTCAGCAGACTGTACACCGGCTCCATGATTGCCACAATTTTCTTGACATCCGCCCACCAAGTCTCGGACCGCAGTGTGAAGTACACAAGGTCAGCCTTTCTTTGCAACTTTTCTCCTGACCACCTCAACGACCTCCACCTCGCAGCAAACTTCCCATCCACCATCTCGCTCAACACGTGCTCCCTATTCAATACCCTCTGCAACATCTGGTACACTGACCCAAACCGGACCTCAGTCGGTCGCCGCAATGTCAAGGAGTAATCAATGGTCATCATCAGACCATTGGTTGCATGATGGTTCTTTATGAACTTGACGATGGTGTTCGCCGTCTTTACGATGTCTCTCACCCATGCGAGATTCGCCAGGTCCTTCAGCAACAAGCTGCAACAGTGCGCTCCACATGGCTTCGCCAATGCTGTCGCGTTCTTCTTCCTCCCTATCATGTGAACCGTGGTCACAAGAGCGACTTATTTCTCCTCTGCTGCCAAGAAGTTCATCACCGGTCTGTTCTTGCGATCAGTCGATCCGTCTGTGATGAACGTGCAACCAGTTTTGTCCCAAAACACAGTCATGGGGTTGATTTCTTTTTCAACCTTCAAGTACACGTAATCCAACATCACCGTCCGCATGAGTTTGTAAGTAGGCAGCTTCACTTTCGGCCTTGCATTGGCAACGTCCAAGGACACATCATGAAGAGTCTGCATCGTGTCGAAGTTCAGGAAGTTGAAAGCAATGCCTGCCCTGAACATTGCCTCCGCCCAAGCAATGTCCAACTTCTTCTGGGCAGCATTGTCGATCCACTTCCTGATTGTGGTTTGCTTCTTCACCACCATCCGCTGATTGTTGTCTGCCCTTCACCGGTGTCTGCACCCCCCTCCGCCCCACCATCATCATCTGTAGCTGCTGCACCTATCTACGCAGCAAGTCGTGAAGGCGACAGGTCCAGAATAGTAGGCGGCACCGGCTCTGACATAGGATCCTCATCATAAGATCCACCCCCCTCGGGCTCCTCGTCACCCTCCGCAGCCCCGGCAAGTCCTCGAAAGTTTTGCAGCAAGCACCGAGTATTCTTGTCGTTGGGGTTAATCTTGCCGCCCTTCGAGACTAGCGCGTCGACGATCTCTCCGGTCCGCGAGACACATGGCTTCCCTGGTTTCAGGAAATGATCAACTGCCTTCGATGATGAGCCCCTGAAAATCTTCGAGCATAGCCAACACCTCAGCCAATACTCGTCGCGGCCAAATGGCATTGCCTGTTGTCCCTGTTCGACCCACTCCCACACAACATTCTTCTTCTGCAGTTTCAAGTGTTCCTTGTTGTCCTTGGGTTGAAACAGGCGAGGGTCAGTACCCGGCGTTGCCTCCTTGTTCACGACATTCGTGGTTGACTGCGCTGCTTTGCTCGAGGAGGGCTTGTCAGCAGCATCCTGCACTTGGTCTTTGCCCGCCCTTAGCGTGATTGCTCTAGCACCGCCACCACTGCCACCCGCCGTACTGTCGCCCGGGAGCAGAAGGATTGCAGATCAAGAAGAAGAAGCAGAAGAAGACGAAAAGAGGAGGAGGAGGAGGAGAACGAAGAGGAGGAGGAGGAGGAGGATGACGACGAGGACGAGGAGGAGGAGGAGGAAAATGATTGATGATGCAAAAAAAATTATCAAAAAAAATGCTACGAGTCTATGACTAATCTTCCATTGGATATGGCATGCTTGGGGGCAAAGGAGAGGATGGGGAGTAAGAAGAAGAAGAAGAAGAAGAAGAAGAAGAAGAAGAAGAAGAAGAAGAAGAAGAAGAAGAAGAAGAGGAGGAGGAGGAGGAGGAGGAGGTGGAGGGAGAGGAGGATTGAAGATGCAAGACAAAAAACAAAAATCTCTAAGTCTAATTTGTCGTTGGATATGGGGCGAAGAAGGCGAAGAAGGCGAAGAAGAAGAAGAAGAAGAAGAAGAAGAAGAAGAAGAAGAAGAAGAAGAAGAAGAAAAAGAAGAGGAGGAGGAGGAGGAGGAGGACGTGCAAAAAAAAATGAAAAAAAAATCGCTATGTCTAATCTGCCATTGGATATGGCGTACTTGGGGACAAAGGAGAGGATGGGGAAGAAGAAGAAGAAGAAGAAGAAGAAGAGGAGGAGGAGGAGGAGGAGGAGGAGGAGGACTGTCTCTTATACACATCTAGATGTGTATAAGAGACAGATCATCCACTGAGCTAAGATACCCTTTTGTGGAGCACAACTGTAAAGTGTGCTCCAATCAAAAAAAAAAAAAAAAAAAAAAAAAAAAAAAAAAACCGTTCATAACACATGTACCTGTCTCTTATACACATCTAGATGTGTATAAGAGACAGGTCATTAACGCATGCGTCATATGATAAACCCACATAGAGGGAGAAAAAAATAGTATTGAGTGAGCAATCGTAAGCATTCAAACACACGTCGTCGACA